ACTTCTGAAGTATAATTTTTTATTATTTTTATATTTTTCAATATATTTATTTTGTTTGTACAAAATAAAAAAATAATTTTTAACAATACAATAGTCTTTGTTAGGCTTAACATCGACGAAAATTCAATGCGAAGCGACACGCAACGGAAAATTTCTACATCGGATACGTTAAACTATTTTTTCGTACATAAATCAGTTATCCGGACAACCCCAGTCCCCAATTGATTCGGAAAATCGACGCTCTACTGTAAAATATATTTATAAAATGACATTGGGTAAGATCTAAAAGCAATATGATCATATTTTATATACTCATTTTGAAAAAAAAACCAATGATATGTTGTTAGTAATGAGAAACTTAAGTTTTAATACCGTACTAGTTTGTATGTTTATATTTATTAAAACAATCTTCAAACATGCAATTATATACAGTTTTGTTTTGAAAGTTATCTAGAAAATCTCTGATTTTCAAGTTTCTAATTCCAATAAGTTTTTATTTACATATAACAGAATGTATCCTCTAGTTCTCATCTAGCAGTGAGGAGATACTGGACATTAAATACTGTATTGAAAATGCTTTTCTATCTACCCTGAAAGTGAATAATTTTCTTTGCTTTTTAAACATTTAAACTTCTGCTGTGTGAAACTAGAGTTGGAAAATATTAACATATTTATGTCATAAAGGAAGATTTTATTTTATATGCAGCAATGAGAATATGGAGGCGCAATTAATAAAAAGAGTCTTATATCATTCTTTTATCTATTATATATTAAAGATATATTTCATGCATTTACGTCTTTAATTAATCATTAATGTTAAATTTCCTAATCATTATTATCATATTAAAAAGCGCGAAGTTAATTTTAAGTATAAAAAGAAATCAAGATTTTATATAGATAAACGTTAAATGTATTTATTAAGTATTATGAAGTACTTAAAAGTTTTAAAAGGAATTTTAAAAGGTAATAAAATAAATAAATAAATAAAAAGTAACGAGGTCCCACCGAGATTCGAACTCGGATCGCTGGATTCAAAGTCCAGAGTGCTAACCATTACACCATGGGACCAAGTTGAAGCTACACTTTTTACAGTGACAATTTATAGTTAGTTAAAATACTTTTAAACGTTGCAGTTGTAATTTTTATACTTATTGATTGAACTGACATTATTATTATTATTATTTTCCTTGTAGTAATTGCTTTTTTTACAGTTAGAATAACATTATTCTTCACGAAACGACTTGAAGTTATGAATTACTGCGTCCCCTAGCGGAACTTTTAAAAATTATCAATAAACCAAACGTGTACATTTTGTAAATCTAATACAGTACGAGGATTAAATTCGAAACTCCAAACTTTTAATACTATGCCCAAAAAACATATTTTAAAAAAATTTTGCACATAGAATTGAGAAAAGGTTCATTATTTCGGGATGATAAAATATTCGAATTTGAATGTTCATTCACATTTAGGAAATTTTTATTAATTAGTAATTGATCTAAATTTGAATCACAAATAACCGCGAAAGATTAACTAACTTCATATAAAAGCAAAACTCATTAATAGAATGCCCACAAATAATTGCATCCTCGTATTTAATATCAAATATTTATACAGTACCGTGAAATATTTGCTACGTCAACGTTATGAGAAATTACTCTTCTCTGTAGTTAGAATTTCTCAGTTAATTTAAAAACGACTTTCTCTGAAATTCAGTTCTCATTTCTGATTCTTCACTCTGAGAAGAACTGGAGACATTTCCCTATTCATCACAGTTTCAGTCATNTTAAAAATCTAAATTTAATATGTAAAAATAAAAATCAATAATTACTATCAGATATCCAATAACTAAACTACAAAAATTTAAGATTTAATTTTTAAATATTTATTTGTTTCAAATTTGTAATAAAAACTTAAAAAATTAAGAAATGAAGAACTTGTAAAATTTTAATACATCTGTATTTTGATCATAAACAGCAAATGCCATATAATATAAATTCAGATGTGCTCAACAAGTTCATACAGTGATTGAAAACAAAAAATCAAGTTGATAATGTATTGATAAACACATGAATATTTACAGCAGAATACTATATATGATTAAGATTTGTCTCAAACATCAATTATTTTCTGTTCATAGCTGATATCTAAGTGTTTATCAATTTTAAGAAAATTTGCATTTTGAAAAATCCATTTCAGGATGTTGTTCCATAAATCTAAAAAGAAAAAATTAAAATGTTAATAATATTTGTACTAGTATAAATTTTGAAAGCAATATAAATTGTTATAATCTGGATTAATTTTAAATATAGTACAGTGGGTGATCAGTTAAACAGTTTGGATAGCAAACACTTTACTGAACAAACATAAAAAGAAACGATGGAAAATAATGAATACCGATTATTTTCCCTTGTCTTCAGGTAACAATTCAAAACCTTTCAGAGTGCGGGAGATGTCAACATTGATGCTCATTCCTTCGAATTTTGAAACTCTCCCTTGTAATTCCAGCTTTTTGTTTGCCTTTCTGACAAATAATTTTTTATAGTCTTTGTGACCCTGTCAGATGAATACTTGTTAAGTTTTGTGTCGGGGTTTATTTACAAAAGATGAAAGTTTAACTGTTCCATCGGATATTTGTTAACGTTTTAATACCAAATTTCGCATTTCATCCAGGCCTTGCATTTAAATAATTTTTTGTGCTCTAGAATTTTTTGTGCGCTAGTTGATTTCGTTCTCTGAATTTTTGTAAATGCTTTTCTGAACTTTTTATTTAAAAAAAAACTGATAATATTATGGAGCCTAAAAAGAGGAGTGTCAAGAACTGTGCTCACCTTAGAAACCAAGTAAGAGATAATAATAATAGCCAAGGTAGAAAGTGGGCACACGATGTCTGATGTTGCTAGGCAGTATGGTTTGAACAGGTCTACAGTAGGCACAATCTTAGCTATAAAAGATATATCAAGGATTCTCAAGCTGCTAATGGAGTAATGAAAAATCACATCTGAGAAATAAAGAGCATTTTAGAGCTCATAATGGAAACTGATCTGCTGACAGAAGAACTCTCAAATGAAGAATACCAAGAAACACAGTGAGATGAGTTTTCTTTTGAAAAAGAGGACCAATGTCAACATCTGTAACTAAAGATCATTTGAAGAAGTGGAAGGATGTCAGAACAATGATCATTCAAAGTGGCATCCAAACCAGAATGAGGTTAATAGGCTTGGAGATCTCTACAATTACAATGCTATTAATTACTTCTGAAAAATCCTAAAGAAAAGAGGAAAGCAATTGATGTTGGACAGATTCTTTAACTCCCACAAACAGAAAAAACATGACTAATAAAAATGCAGGCTTGCATATATATGTATTTTTACTATTACATATAAACATAGTAAAAAAGTGTATATTTTTTATTTTTTGGAGTCTCCCGAACAAATTAATCAAATTTCCATAAAAACCTATGGTAAATCAATAATCAATTAATGAACAAAATCTTGGAATGGATTATGTTCGTTAACCAATCACCCATTGTATTCTTATGTCAATATAAAATTGAATTAAACAATGAAGAGTGTCCAAAAGATAAAGAAATTCATATAAATTTAAGAACAGTAAATTTAATATGAGAACAATTTACTTTTTAATAATATCCTGCTTTTTCTCCTCATCTGATGTAGGTAAACCTAGTTCTCTTTGACGCTGATCATACATCATCTTTTCCACCATGCCTCTTGTTTCACTATCTAAATCTGATAACTGTAAGAGTATCATATTAGAACTATATTTATTCTTCAATTACAAGAATAAATTTTTTAAATTTAAGCTTGTTTACCTTTGATGGTTCAGGATTAACTTTTCTAGTATTTATTTCAGGATCTGTAGTTACTAGTCTACTCCACCATTCCATTTTATTTACCTTAAAGATAAAACAGAGTATACATTTATTCACAATATAAATTAAAACATAAAATAATAATAACAACAACTAATTCTTACTTTTTCAATAGAAATTGCTATAATTTTGCTATCTTCCATTACCCAACAACATTCTTCTATTTTGATGTCATTATACAATTCACCATCTATAATAGGAGGATGGCCTTTCAAACCAACTTTTAAATGCTAAAAATAAATTAAAAATAAAGTTATTATTAACTTTACTATTTTACTAAGGGCATTAGTAAGTCTTTTTACATTAAAATAAACAAGATATTTAAATTTAATATTTAATAAATAATAGCATAATTCTTAAAATTCAATTGGCACATTTGAATAATCTGAAAATTTTTATAATTGATTAACTTAACTGCATTAAAATCATATTGATTTAATTTTCAATTTTAACCTTTGTAAAGAGGGTTAGTTAGATATGGCATTATCGTGATGTAGCGGAAAATAAACGTGGGAAATTTTTAAAGAATTTTTCCACACGTTTTTCTTGTTTTTGTTTCAGAAAAAAAATTTTTTAAACAGTTACGTCTAATAAAGAAAAAGTCTCTCTTTATTGCCACATAATTCCTTTTTGTATGAATTTTTTTTTGCGGTAATTTTTGCCTAAAATTTTTTGCGGATATCGATGTCGTTCTCCAGTGCCACGTGATCGCCCTTGATGGGTATATCTGTCGATCACTGCAGTGTGGTTAAGCATGTTAATCAACAAGTACTTCACAAATATAGAACATAATAAATCAAATTGACACCAACAATAAGTATACATTAGATTCTTATTATGAACATTCTATTAGTTCAAACATTTTTTCCATATTTTCTGATAGCATTTCTTTATCAAGAAGTGTAATTTGATAATTATTTACTACAATTAAACCATTTTTATTTATTGTGATGTCAAAAAAACTGATTCTATACATAAATACTTTAATTCTCTTAAACAGTTACAATTTATCTGTGTGCACACACACACATGCCATTTAAAATGTAAGATATATATGCACAAACCATTTAAGATATATTTTTCTCCCTGTTGTAATATAAATGTTGATGTATTTCACAATTCTCTGATTATATCTTGAGTTATTTTTTGAACATTGAACATGTTAAAAAAAAATACAAATGATTGCTTTCTTTAGTTGGTGATTATATACATTAAATATTTGCTCCTTCAGTGTCAACAAATTTTGTCATTTTTCTTTTGATCCTCTCTTAAACAAAACAAAATTAATTACATTATGTATCTTTCTATAGCAGTGTTCCGGAACCGGTGTGACGTAAACTTTTACATATTCTGTTAATTACAAGTTTTATTTATATATTTTTATCACAGTTTTTGTGTTTCTTAAGCTTGTATTTCATTCTCTGCCACAGCACCGATGAAATAAGATGATGATTGTATATTCTTTATTACAAGCCATGCATTTTTATGTATTCTAAGAAATTATATGTAAAATAAATTTACTCACAGGTGTTGATGTCTTTTAATAATAATAATAATAGGTTAGTGGCATTATGTAATTCTGTTAATAGTATCATATCATACATTTCTGAGGGGAATAACATTTTGGTATGCAGTGTTGAGTCATGGGTGTGCCACAAATAGAAAAAGGTTGCGGAACACCGTTCTATAGACTTGTTCCATCATATTTTACAGAAATATTCATAAAAATTAAAAAATTTCTCTCAACCAATGAAGAAAATAATTCTTAGTAGAGCAATCTGTAACAAAGCAATTTAGAGTGATATATTTCAAGATGCAACAATTATATTTCAAAATAAAACATTGAAAATATATGGGAAATAAGACATAATATTTTAAAAATATTTTCAAAATATTCACACATCTCTAGGTTTTATGTCAGAATTGATAGAGTAAATTACCAGTATCTGGGCAAAGTGTCATTGATTAAATGGTAATGACATCGCTTAGCTAGCTGCATATTATTATTTAGATCATATGTTCTTAATAATTAAATTGTTTTATTAATTTATTGTTTTCAAAATTAAAATAACTGAATATGAAAAATATGTCATGGTGTTTTTGGTGGAAGATTGGTCTGTAGCTAATGAAATCACAGATTTATTTGCTAAAATAAACTTTCATTATCACATAAAAAATTTATGTACTTTCATAACTTTTTCTATAAAATATGACAGAACAGATTTGGAGGAAAATATTAAAAAATAATAATAAAATAAATTTTCCAAAGAAAAATTGAGAGAAAAATACAATTGCATTGCAAATCCAAACACGAGCCTGTCTACAAGGCCTTAAACAGATACTCTTATAAATACTGTAAAATCTTTTATTTATAGGAGTTATCATATGATTTAACATTCCAAATTTTACTTTTATGTTAAAATTTGAGATACAATGGGTGATTGGTTAATAAACATAATCCATTCCAAGACTTTGTTCATTAATTGTTCCGAATTGTTCATTAATTGATTATTGATTTACCATAGGTTTTTATGGAAATTTGATTAATTTGTTCAGGAGACTCCAAAAAATAAAAAATATACACTTTTTTACTATGTTTATATGTAATAGTAAAAATACATATATATGCAAGCCTGCATTTTTATTAGTCATGTTTTTTCCATTTGTGAGGGTCAATGAATCTGTCCAATGTCAATTGCTTTTTTCTTTTCTTCAGGATTTTTCAGAAGTAATTAATAGCATTGTAATTAGAGATCTCCAAGCCTATTAACCTCATTCTGGTTTGGATGCCACTTTGAATGATCATTGTTCTGACATCCTTCCATTTCAAATGATCTTTAGTAGCAGATGTCAACATTAGTCCTCTTTCGTCTTCCTCTTTTTCAAAAGAAAACACTTCTCGCCAGTGCCATAACTAGCCATTCCTGTGCCCTCTGCAAGAATTTGCATTTATGCCCCTTAATTAATTAGGTTTGGGAAAATAATAAAACAAATACATGCATTTTGGGCACCCTTCCAAGTGGGGTCTGTGCGGTGCACTTGCCTAGATACGGCACTGAGTGTCGCTGAGTTTCTTGGTATTCTTCATTTGAGAGTTCTTCTGTCGTCAGATCAGTTTCCATTATGAGCTCTAAAATGCTCTTTATTTCTCAGATGTGATTTTCATTACTCTGTTAGCAGCTTGAGACTTTGTGATATATCTTTCATAGCTAAGATTGTGCCTACTGTAGACATGTTCAAACCATACTGCCTAGCAACATCAGACATCTTGTGCCTATTCTCTACCTTGACTATTATCTCTGCTTGGTTTCTACAGTGAGCACAGTTCTTGACACTCCTCTTTTTAGGCTCCATAATATCATCAGTTTCTTTTTTAAATAAAATGTTCAGAAAAGCATATATAAAAATTCAGAGAACAAAAATCAACTAGCGCACAAAAAATTTTAAATGCAAGGCCCAGATGAAATGTGAAATTTGGAATTAAAACGTTAACAAATGTCTGATGGGACAGTTAAACTCTCACCTTTTGTAAATAAACCCCGACGCAAAACTTTACATGTGCCTGTCCAACAGTCTTGCAAAGTCTATAAAAAATTATTTGTCAGAAAGGTAAAGAAAAAGCTGGAATTACAAGGGAGAATTTCAAAATTCAGAGGAATATTATCTGATCAGTATCAGGTTGAGTGTCAATGTTGATGTCTCCCATGCTCCGAAAGATTTCAAATTGTTACATGAAGACAAGGGAAAATCAATTGGTATTAGTTATTTTCCGTCGCTTCTTTTTATGTTTGTTCAGTAAAGTGTTCGTTGTCCAATGATAAAAATTTTTCGCAAAAATGTTCATTAAGCGATCACCCACTGTATTGCATAATATAAACAAAAACTAACCCTTTTTGCAATATCAACTACACAGTCTCTTGCTTTTACTTTTATTCCAGCTGGTAAGAAAACTTTTAACTGTAAAAATCCAAAATTTTAGTATTATCACTTTTTCAATTTTTAAAATTTATTTAAAATATAACTTACCTCTATGTCAGAAAGTGTTTGTGTCCACCTATAATTTTCCAAATCACAACCATTACCACTATTTGGTTTAATCTTTCCTTTGTCTTTTTCATCATCTTCCTCATCACTCTCATTCTTGAATTAAAAAAATTCACACATTATTTCATTTAAATATATTAATCAAATCTTTTTAAACTGTTACCTGTAATCATTAGATCCATTTAGAAATGAAAGTACCTTTTCTCCATCATTCTCTGATTTTCTTTCAGGTTCACCATTTTCTTTACATTCTTTTTTCTAAAAATATCAAAAACAAAATAAATATTTTGTAGGTAAATAAAAACGGTAATTCTCAATAAAAATTGTAAACAATACTATATTTAAAACATTAATAATTTTTATTATATAACATTCTCTATTTACAAGTTGTTATAAATTTCATAAAGTACTGATGGTGTATAGAGATTGCAATCCAGCAGTGTTTTTAATCCAGCTGGATTTTTGCTGGACCAACATCCAGCAATGTTTTTTAATTATATAAGCTCTACATATCAGTCTGTAGTGATTTATAAGTAATTTAATTATTAGTGTTAATAAAGTAGTGAGTAAGTAATTAGTAGTAGTCTTGTAGTTAGTTATTATTATCACAATCATGAATCACGTACATTCATATCATCATATATCTAAGATACTGATACTCAATAATTTAATTAACTATTTAATTAACTAGATAGTCACAGTTTCTCACTAATTTTCACAATAATACAAGGTCTGTTCAAAAAGTATCGGACCTTTGGTCGGCAAAAATAAATTTATTGACTTTGAGGTACAAAACCCTAATCCCCTTCAAAGTAGTCTCCTTGGTAATGTATACACTTCTCCCAGCGTTCCTGCCATTGCTGGAAACACTGCTGGAACGCATCTTTTGGAATGG